CTCATCCTGTTTGACTTCCATGCTGGCACAAAACTCTGCGAGTTGGTTTGAAGGTTCAACAGACTGAATCTGTGCTGCATCCTGCAGGTTTCTTGCAATTCCAAAGTATCCATATTGCTTCAGTTGGCTGACAATCAGTGGCAGCATTTGCTCTTGTGGCAACATTTGGAGGAAAGTTTCCAATCGATGCGACTTGTGTCTTGGAACGTCAATGGCATCAAAACAGTATCTTGCTACCATCCATGGATTAACAAACGCTTGGATGAGATTCTGGATGCTTTTGATGCAGACATCATCTGTTTCCAAGAAATCAAGTCTGTGCACTCAAAACTGGAGACTGATATGATCATGCCCAAGGGCTATCATGCATTTTACTCACTTCCTGGAAGAGGATACTGTGGCGTTGGAACGTTTGTGAGAAGTAATGTGCAAGTTGTGAGTGTGAGGGAGGGCAGGTTCAATCTCCCGAAAGGATTCCAGGAGCAAGGGAGGAGCCTGATCACAGACCATGGATCCTTTGTCTTGATCAATGTGTATGTCCCCAATGATCATTCCAGTCCTGAAAAAGAAGCTTTCAAGCTTGCATTTCTGGAAGCCATTGAAAAAGAGACTGAACAACTGTTGACATCTGGAAGACATGTCATTGTTTGCGGAGACTTGAACATTGCCAGATTGCAGATGGACCATCATGATCCCTCAAGCTTCAAAAAGACATACTACAGAGACATTCAATCGTTTGAAGATCTTCCCATTCGAAAGTGGATGGAGCACTATCTGTCTGATTTAGAGATGACTGACACTTTTCGCTTCTTTCATCCAACTGCCCAGAAACGATACACTGTCTGGAACACATTTCTCAACTATAGACCAGCTAATATGGGAACACGCGTGGATTACTTTTTGACAAGTCAGTCTCTCAAACCACATTTGATAGGGGCCAATCTGCTGACAGACATTCTTGGCAGTGATCATTGTCCAATCACACTAGATTTAGATGCTGACATCAAAGCAATGTCTTTGAATGAATCAGAGCAACTGGATCTGACTTCAAAACTCTACACCCACAACTGGGGCACTTTTCCAGGCAAGCAGCAAAAGATTGATCTTTCTTCCTTCAAAAAGGCCGCAAGGCAACCTACACTTGAAGGAGACAACCAAAAGACAGAAAGGCAAAAAACAGTTGCCATTGTACAAAAGCGCATCTCTCCGTCAAAAGTGTCTAAAAAGAAGGATGTCCCCATCACTCGGTTCTTTCAGAAAAAGGAATCTACACAACAAACAGCTCTTTTTAAAGACTTGGAATCTGATGAAAAAGTAGATCTGGTCAATCTCCAGATGGAAAGTGTACAGTCAAAAGCAACCATAGAGCAAGCAAAACAAGTGTGGAAACAGATACTCAAGCCGCCTCCCATCCCCAAGTGTCGGCACAATGAAGATGCGGTCGAAATGACCGTGAACAAGAATGGGATGAACAAAGGCAGAAAGTTCTATGTCTGTGGGAGGCTGGCAGATCAGAGATGCGACTTCTTTGAATGGAAGCGCAATATCAAGCGACAAACAAGCGCCAATGACAACACGAGTGACGTCGCACACTCATGATGCATTGTGTGCAGTACAGCATTTCACTTTCTTCTCAATGTTTGATAAAGCATATCCAGACCTCTGCCACACACTAGCAAACACTCATCCTCTTGTCATCTCTGGTAAACACGCTCACAAGAGATATCCTCGCTGCCCAAGCAGAAAAAGTAATTGACTGCAGCACTCACACCACTATACCTGATCTACCACCACTCCGCTCATTCATTGCTAGTCTCATGACATCTTGCAGGATCTCACTCTCTGCAGTCTGTGTACCACTCATCTACCTCACAAGACTGGAAAAGAAACTCAAACACACATCGAAAGGTGCTTGTGATGATGATAGGCATGAAGTGTACACTCCATAGACTCGTATTAAGCGCATTCATCGTTGCACAAAAGTATCTCTTGGATGTGCCAATGAGCAACAAGTCTTGGGCAACACAAACCAAGATTTTCTCACTGTCTGAGATCAATCTCATGGAACGCCAGTTTCTGAATCTCTTGGATTTCAACTGCCATGTCTCACAAAAGGAATTTATGGATCGGTTGTCAAAATCACTCTGCATTCCTAACCACAGACAAAACGGTCATGACATTCGACGTCTATCACATCCATACAGCCTCAACAGAATCCAGAAACGCCATCCATCACGACAAACCAGATTCACACCTTTTGAGGTCTCGGTGCCATTTTACCATCAATCAGCATGAGATTCCAAATTCTCTTCAAGTGATCCAAGAATGTCATCCAAAGAGTACGATTTCTCCAATATAGCTGACCAGACTCTCTTTGCGATCTCAGTGTCTTTTGGATCGAAACTCTGTAACAGCAGTTCTTGTCCACGATCTGTTTGTAGTCTGACATCACTTTGCCACAGACACAACGCCTCTTCTGTTCGAGAGAGCTCGCTAAGGGCTTGCAACAGTCTGAATTTCAGTTCTACTGGTGCATTGTTGTCCAAAAGCTTTTCTATTTCTAGAAGCGCAAGGTGATCATCCAGTCTCTTGCATGCTTCCATGCAACTGATCATCAATTGAGGCTGTGAGATTAGTTTCAGATCAAAGAGTTCCAAAAGTGTGTCACGCTGCAAGACTCTTTCGTACACTGGCAGCTTACTCCTTCCTAGCGTTCTCACAAGTTGATTCAACATTCGTGATTGTAGTTTGTGGTTTTGTGTTGCATTGTTTTTCCAAAACTGCAGTGCAGCTACTGGCAAGGACTGATCACAGTACAATTTGGTGATGGCATTCATGACTTCAACAGACAAATGGACACCTGCATCTTCCAATTGAGATGCCAAACGCAATCCATTCAGTAAATCTCGATCTGACAGAGACAAGAGTGCCATTTGCACACTGCCATGATGCAATACATTCCAATCAAACAGTTGATCCACAATTTTGTGTGTTGGCATCGTTTTGCCAGCAAATTGAACAAACCTGAGTCCGATTTCTTGACTTGCTCTCGTCTTTCGTCCCATCAGGACTTGAAATGCTCTTTTGTGCCACTCTGAAGTGCCAACTGGTGATGCTAATACGAAATTGGCAGCCATCTGTGGTGAAAGTGTTTGAATCCTCTTGAACACATCCAAAGCAAGATGTGGTAGTTTCACAGAGCGACGGGAGAGACCTGCTAGAATGGCTGAATAGACAATGTCTCTGTCGTTCTTGGCTTGATGTGTTGCTTGAATGACTACCATCAAAATCAGCACTCTTTTGGACTGTCTCTGGTGAATGATACTTGGCAATTGTCTTTGGAAAGGACAGCAAGCCTTGCTTTGACCGTTCCAACTTCCAATGTTGAAATGCATCACTCACAAGTGATTGTTGCAGCAACTGGTGCAGCTTCAATGACAATGAAGAGTGTTGCTGAGTGTGTAACTTTTCCTTGACATATTGTGGTCTCACAGCTCGTTTCCGCAAGAGTGTACGATGCATGATGTGCTGACGGTCTGAAATATTGCTGACAAAGAGAGGAAACTGCCTCTTTTCAACTGGTATCCATTTCTCTAGTCTGCAATGGTAAACAGACAGATAGGCGAGTGCACTTGCCTTGGAAGTCATCAAAATGGACAACTTTTTTTACGTTTCCTATCTTGCAGGAGTTGGATTTGTTGGATCAAAATTCATTCAAATAGTCATCAGACAACGACTGTCACCAGTTGTGGTTCAATTGTTTGCAGGGACACTTGGGATCTCGATGCTCATTATCTTTTTATTTATTGCAGAAGTGGCAGACTTTATGCAGGAATCTTGGAGGATATTCTGGTGGGGGTTAGACATCTTCTTGATTCTCTTCAACAGCTTATTGGTTTTGCCTCTCCTACAGCTCTATCTCTTTTATCAGTCATTCCAGAGGATCAGAAAGCCATTTGTGCTTGCAAGTGTCAGTTGGATTGGTCTCTTGATCGTGTTTTTGTTGATTCCATGTGAACCCACCGAAACATTACTTGGTCCACTCTTGGTCAGATCTGGAATGGTCGGTGTCTTTCTCATGGCATCACTTTCTGGATTTACAGCAGTCTACACTCCCTTTCAAAACTTGCAGATCTTTCGAAAACGACGCACCATAGAAGACGTACAAGAAGTTGAACAGAACATCAAACAAACAATGGCCTACATTTTTGAAAAAAAGAGGCAGCAAGCCATGAAACAGACACCACAAACCGGATACGGCTTTCTCTCATCCTTCACATCCAACCAAGACACCATAGAAAATGAAATCGCTGCACAGGAACTCATTTTATCGCATTTCATCTCAGAGCTGGACTCACTGCACCAAGACATGGAATACCAAAAAACACGTGAATGGACCAACTTTCTTGGCATCTTCTTTGCCATCTACTGCATCTACAAAACTATAGCCTCTCTATTTAACATTCTACTGCACAGCAATGGGGGGAGTGATCCAGCCACCACAGTTCTAGTCATGCTCACCACATGGTTTGGTTTTGACGTTGATCTTGCCTTTTGGTCCAAGCAGCTCTCCTTTTTACTGGTTTCAATCATGGCCATTTCATCAATACGCAGTATTCTGCTCCAATTCACAAAGGCACATCACCTGACAATAGCTGTCCAAAAGAGGATTGCGCACTATTACTACCGAAACGCTAGTCTTGATTTTTTCAAACTTGATTGGATTTTACTTTCTTAGTGTCACTCTCATGCTCAGATCTAATCTCCCGCCGTCCCATCGGTATATAGCCTAACACAAGAGAAAAACTACGGCAAGTCTTGGGAGATGTTGAATTTCACTTTTATCAGCGATGGTTTGATACCATCTTCTTGATCACGACGCTAGTCTCATCTGCCATTCTTCTAGCTTCAAACCGAGTTAATAAAATGTCTTAATACACTATCATCCAACATTAACACAAGAAAAAAGTATTAAATCAATGTGCAATAATGACAAAAAATGCCTTCAGTGCGGATCGAACGCACGACCTTAAGATCTTCAGTCTTACGCTCTCCCAATTGAGCTATGAAGGCACACATCCTTTCTCTCACCAATATAATTCAATATCTCAGGTCCAGGAACGCGGTTCCACATCTTACTGAGATTCTACCCGTACGACGTTGCCGCTCAGTGGCGAACTTGGGAACCACCCGCATCTCTCTTAGGAGGGATTACGACCCAGATTCGACACCTCGCAGTAAACGCCTTTACTCGCACGTAACAATTGGTGATCTTACCATGAACATGAACACTGATGAAGAAATGCAGCCAAGCAACATTCCGTCCGTCAACGACTACCAAAACCTCCTTGCTCAGGTGCAAATGATCGCCGAGCAGTATCAGGAGTTACACGCACGCCTCCGAACCGCTGAAATGCGAACCGGTACTCCTCTACCATTGCTAACCGTCCAAGTGCCTTCTGAAGAACCTCGAGCTCGCCTTCATCGACCAGTCAACTACCAACGGCAAAGAGATCCAATGGCGATCGATAACTGGCCTTTCTCCGTTGAATACTACATCGATTCCTACTGCCTCATAGGAGAGAAAGCAGTTGCCATGGGTGCCAGTTTCCTCGCTGACAGTGCCCTCCAATTTTGGCGACGCTATCGACGCGATCTCGAAGCCCAACAGCTAGCCGGTGACCTTGCTGACTTCAAGGCCTTCGATGCTGTCATTCGAGACTACTTCTTCCCCACGGATTATGTCTTGGGCATCCGTGATCAGCTTGATCGTCTCCCACAGTACCAGAGTGTACAACAATTCTCCGATGAATTTCAGCAATTGCTGTTTCAACTGCCAACTCCTACCATGACAGTGACATGAAAGACTTGTTTGTTCGAAAGTTGAAACCTGAGATTCGAAAACTCGTGCTTCCCAACGACCCAAAGTCTCTTTAAGAAGCGATCCAGTAAGCACTTCGTGTGGATGGCATCTTGTTCCAGCCGTCGCGCTATAGCAGCAGATCTCATCCGTATCCACTTTCAGTTGCTATTCCAATGGATGTCGATACAGTTAGTTTCGCAAGACCAATGGAAGAACGTATCTAGGTTACGACGGGAGACGGCAAAGAACCATGAGCGATATTTGCTGCTAAAATTGTGGTCAAACTGGCAACATCTCTCGCGACTGTCACGCTCCACCTCCCGAAAAAACCAAGGAAGTCAGAGCCAGAGAGAAGCATAACCAAGAGGGTCATAAACCCGATTCTTTCTATTTCGTTTTTCAAGAAGTGAATCTAGCTACACTACAACAGATCCACGCTAAAGCACGAGATAGCGCGTTTAAAAAATATATAAAACCAAAGAACAAAATCAGTGCAGCTAACAACATACCAAATCAAGATGAATTGAAAATTTTCACTGCTCTGCTATTATTATTGAGTGAGATATAAGACTTGAGTGCGACCAAAATTGCTAAATTAAATATTTTATGGCCCCATAGACTTTCTAATGACTCTAGCATGCATAATCAGTCTTGCTTTGAGAGATTCGAGACTTGTCTGTGAACTGCCATGTTGAGACAAAGTTTGTATATGGCTCAAAAATGATATTTCCGTTGAAAAAATTATTTTCAATTTTCTGAGGACAGACTTTGCTCTATCGCGCAATCTGTGTGAAAAGTGATACACGGTTTTGCACCTGAGCTTGCGCAAAAGTGACACGCATTTTCACCTGCTAAACCCGTCCTCAGATAGTCTCACAGCCAAAGAATGCCAAGTGCTTAATCTGTTCTTTGTGAGTCACTGATCACGGAGCCATCTTGTTTCTTGAGATTGGATGTGTTTTCAAAGAGATTTGGGTTGATGGCATTTGTTGTTGGCGATGAGAGTTTACTAGGAGAAGAGATAGTGATTGACAAAGATACGATCAGTTCCATACTTCAGAGTTGGGACATGTTCAATAGCAGCTGTCACAGGGATCTCAATAGTCTCTTCCTCGTCAGGTTTCACGAGTGCAGTCCAGTCAGAAGGAAAGCCCTCTAAAGTTTCAGAGTACATGAGACTCATGGTCATGCTCTCCTTTCCAACATTCTCAATCTTCCAAAATCTGTCTTTAAAAGACATAAATGCGTCAGTTTTTGGTCTTGATGGTGCAGGCAGGGGATTGGTGAAGATCAGGTTCAAGCATTGTTGAAGATGACATCCTGGTTTGCGATATCTGTTTTGGTCCAGTTTGTCCATCCAGCCGCCACCCTCGATGAGATGCTGAGTAGCGAATCTGCCCTCCCACTACTTTTTTGCTGCCAGAACATCATTGTGATTGTTGCTTCGATGGAATGCTGCCCTGGTGACCTTGTTCAAGCTTTCAAAGGCTTCCACATCATAAAAATATTGTTAGAGAGGCTTGGGCAGCTAGTGCACATCATCTCAGCTGCCGAGACTCGACAGTCTTATTTCCTGGTCACGTGCCAATGTGGGTGACGAGCTTGTCAGATGATTGCCGCAATTAAAACTTTGCTCACTTCTTTACGTTATCAGCACTACATTCTACCGAAATGTCTAACAGTGAAGAATATGCTACTCCCCAACCTGTTTCCGAAGTCCTGGGTCCTGCCCAAAGAAGTTCCAAGGACATCAACATCGAGCCCAAGCTCGGTGACTCCAATTGGCGCATTTGGCGCATGAAAATGCTGGCTGTCCTCCACGATGAAGGCCTAGCCACTGTCGCTGTTGACCCCAAGTCTGGCAGACAAGTTGTAACCATTTACAACAATTCCCGGTCCTGGAGAACCCTGATTGTCAACATCGAGGGCGATCTCATGCATCAGCTTGATGCCATGACCCAAGCCCAGCAAATCGGGGATTATTTCGAAAAGCAATACTCAGGTGTCAGCTTTGCACGAAAATCAAGTGGCATTGCCCAAATCTGTGGTTTCAGGTGCAATGCCTCCAAGTTGCAAGCCCAAATCAGCAACTTGAAAAGCTTGGTGCACCAAACTGCCATCGCAAGCGAGTCTCAATCGATTACTTTTGACGAATTAGTAACAATCAACTTGATCAATACTCTGCCTGAGAAATTCAGCTCAGTTCGTTCGAGAATACACCAGGCCGGTGAATTGAATCTCTCCAAGGTGGCTGCTATTGTCTTGCAAGAAGAAGACCTGCTATTAGCTGCTGAAAAGCATCACCAAAGCCCCGAGTATGTTGGTGTGGCCGACGCCGTCCCAAACAAGCCATACAAGTCCACTAGTAGCCGAACAGACCACATTTGCATTGGCAAAGCATGCAAGCACTACCTGATTCAATCCACCTGTCGTGACTGCCGCAAGAAAGGCCATCGCACGAATGGATCCACTCGATGCGAACTCCATCCGCCCTTTAGAAAGCATGCAAATCTTGCTTTCGTTACTCAAGAAGAACCAGAGGACCTTATCCCATTTTCCAATGGTCAAGCATCTGCATTCACTGCCTTTCCCACCGAAAGCGATGGGCACAAGCGAACCAGCTCCTCTGATGATGTTCCTGAACCCAAGAGACATTACTCCCTTGCACTCTCCACGTAGAGTCTCAAGATGGTCCAAATGACCTCAAGTTGACAATCGACAGTGGTGCTACTGTCACGCTTTTACAAAATAAAGCAATCTTCAAAACTACAGAGCATGTCATACACATGTTGGTGTTGCTGACCAGGATGCCCCCAAAATGGTGTGCACAGGCTCAGGAACACTGCAACTGTCATCCCAAACTGCGATCCCCAATGCTATCCATTGCCAAAGTGCTGCTATGAACCTGCTCTCTGTCTCACAGCTTGCTGCCCAAGGTCTAGAAATCATGTTCAACAAAAAGCAATGCACAATCACCAAATGTGACACCAAACAGATCATCATGACAGCTCCAAACGTCAATGGACTGTACGTTCTCACAAGACCACGGCATCTGCCTCTTGCTCTTGGATGTGATAGTCGATATTTATTGAGAGATAGTCACCCCTTTTATAGGCGTCGCCTTGGGTGTGCATTCTGCCACAATGTGGGTCCAAGGTTATGTGGCATCATCTGATTGGTCAGCTGTTGGGTGAAACTCCCAACATTCCCCGGGATTCCTCGGAAGTCATCTCCGTAGGCACTGGAGTTCTTGGAGTAGCATGTCTAACAGCCCCTCTTACGACAAGACCGAGAGATTTCATCAATGTTCGCATGGTGGATCCTGGGACTCCTTTCGTGAAGATATCAGCGCATTGCATCTTCGTTGGCACATACGTAAATTGCATCTGTCCTTCAGCTACGTACTCGCGAATGACGTGGTAGGCCAGTTGGATGTGCTTAGTTCGTTTGTGATACTCTGGATTCTTTGTCAGGGCAATGGCAGCTTGGTTGTCACAGTACACAGTCACTGGTCCTTGTGGAAATCCTAGCTCAGTTAAGAATTGCTTCATCCAGATGACTTCGTTCGCGGCTGCAACAGCACTGTAGTATTCGGCTTCGGCAGAAGATTGTTCAGGCACCTTTCGTTTTCGCGTGCCAGAGTACCAAGAGACAGCAGTTCCGGCTAAGGTGCATACGTATCCAAGCCTTGATTGATAATGGTCGTCGTTCGCCCAGGCAGCATCACAATAAGTCTCCAAGGACAGATTCGCATCAGGACAGTACTTGATCTTCACGTCATCGTTGGCTCTGATGTAGCGCCAGATGTCTTTGACCATCTTCACATGTGTTGGCTTTGGTGCATCAAGATATCTGCTGACAACGGAAACAGCAGCAGTCAAGTCTGGTCTGGTGTTTGTCATGGCATACATCAAACTTCCAACTAGCTTTCGATAGGGGAAGGCATGGTCAACATCTTCCTCTTCAGCTGCGCGCAGCAGGGCATGAAAATTCTCGGCTAACGGACTAGAGCAGCCACCAGGTCCAATCAACTGGTCATACTCTTCAAGCTTCTTCCTAACATACTGGGTCTGGTCAAGGGTCATACTTCCATCTTCATTCTGCGTGAACCGGATCCCAAGGTAGTATTCAAGTGGTCCTCCCTGCGTGATTCCAAAATGGCTTCTAAGGTTCTGTCTGAATATCTCCATCTCAGGTCCTTTTCCAATGG